TACTAATGCAAGTTAGCACTTATTCCACAAAGAATAGTGCTGGAAAGTTACCTGGGGAACTGAGAAGTCAAGTGACTTCCCTAGGGACATACAGCTAGTATGTGTTAGAAGCAAAACTTGAACTCAGGTCTTCCTGAGGACAGTGCTCTGTGCCACACTGCTTCTCATAGATAACTATAACACAAAATAATGTGATGCCTTCTTTTTGAAGTTATTTATATATGTACTATACCCCTTTACTACACTATAATCTCCATGAAGGCAGGGCCTTTGTCTTATTTAAACTCCTTTATTTCCCCACCACCTAGAATGGTGCTGTGTATACAAGAGGTACCTAATACATGTTTACCAAATTATTGTACTGAATTACTATCATCAATGATAATTCAAAAAACTCAAGACAAGTTGGTGACAAAAGTACCTTCTGTTCCAGGGAAAAACAAGACTTCCTTATGTCAGGAACCTTGAATATTTTCATATGCATGACAAATATTCTCTGTGTTGATAACATTTGTTCATCATATCTGAGAAAGAGGTTGTCAAATCAACATTTAAATGGCAGTGACTCCCCTGTGTCCCTGCCTCACTCTGAGGAAATCAAAGAACTTTACTGATATTGAGCAAAGTTTTCCAAGCACCTGGGTTACTCCTTGTTTGAGAAAACTCTGTGGCAGGTGGAAATTCCTTATCTAAGGTCCCTTTCTCCTCACTTTAACCAGGACTCAGGACCACCTCCCATGGTGAGTCCTGGCCAGCCTGCCTAGCAAGGAGTACTCCCTTCAGAAGGCCTTTGGCTTGGCATCAAGGCCTCGTCTTGTTGCTGGGGCCATGTTAGACAGACGTGTGTCCACATCTTAACCTCATATTGCCCAAACATAGAAATTGCCTCAGGAAAATTTGGACTTTCTCTCTTAACAAAAGGTATGCAATTCCCACTTAATAACAAAAACCACTATAGCCCTCTGAAATCATGGTTGATCATTGCAATGATCACAATTATTGTCTTTCAAAGTTGTTTGCTTTTATAAGGTTGTTGTTATTGTATAACTGTTCTTCCGTTTTCCTTTTTCTGAGGGGTGGGAAGAGAGAGAGAGAGAGAGAAAGTATTGCCTACATTCTTTTATTTGAACTCCTGAACTCTGGCTGTCTAATGTTGGATATCCCTTTCTCCTCATTATAAGGCAAGAAAATGCCTCAGTAGAGGTACACTGAAGAACATGCTCTTTAACTACGTCTCAGAATCTATTTTATCATAGTTGCTCTCTGAGTGAGAGTAATCTACTTTATCTCTTCTTCAGCTTCCTCTTGAAATCCACAGACAGATGATATGACAAAGGGTTAGCTTGGAGGTCCCCATCTTTCTGAAATATTCACAGATAGGACTCATGCCCTAGGATTCCAGTTTCATGAAACAAATCACCCGAGAGTCATGGGACTCATCCAAAAGGAAAATAAAAGAATAGAACCTGACACCATCAGAAGCTGTGCTCACAAATTTGGGGGCTGGATGAGGTCCTAATTAATATCCCTGAACAGAATGATGCTCCCTCATGGAGTTGCTCAGTATAGCTACTGATGCTAGCCAAGAAATCACCAGTGCTAGTGGGCTACTCATGTCCGCTTCCATTCAATTCAATACATCAAACATCCATCAAACTCCTATTATGTACAAGTTATTTTGCTAGGCACCGAGGACATAGATAAAAGCAGAATTAGTCCCTTCCCTTAAGAAATTTACATTTACTACTCTGATGGATCCATGATCTAACTGGTCTTCCTATCTCAAATCTCATATCACTCTAGTCCATCCCACACACTACTGGCAAGGTAAATTTTCTTCAAATCAGTTCTGACACTGTGACAGTGTGGTCCGCCCTTTTGTCCTGGATTTTGTCTTCTTGTGTTTTTATTACATAAATCTCTGCTGGTTCTCCTCCTATCTGTCAGACTATTCCTTGATAGTCTCCTGTGATGATTCATTGCTCATATCATGCCCTCTAATGACATGTGAATTAACCCAAAGGTCTTTCTTGGGGCCTCTTCTCTTTCTAACACTCTCTCTTTCTTGGTGAGAGCTGTCATGAGCTTAATGATCATCTCTATGCATATGACTCCCACATTTATATATCCAGACTCAGTCTCTCCCCTGAGCTCCACTCCAGTACCAACAATTACTAGACATTTGTCTATTAGACATTTCAAACTGGATGTCTCATGGACCTCACTATGTTCCAAACAACTCATTATCTTGTTCCCAAACCCCATGATTCATCCTAGCTTTACTTTTTTTTTCTACTGAGGGTACCACAATTTTTCCAGTTATTCAGGTTCATAACTTTAACATTATACTCAATGCCTCCCTCTCCCTTGTCCCATATATTTAATCAGCTGCCAAATCTTGCCTTTTTTCTCTTATATCTGATCTCTTCTCTCTGCTTATATAGCCACAACCTATTTTAAGTGTATTCATCCCTTGCCTGGACTAATGCAATGTTTTCCTAATTGTTAGCCTGCCTCAAGTCTCTCACAACTCCAATGCATCTCCTACACAGCTGCCAAAGTGATTTTTTAAGCACAGATCTGACCAGGTCGCTTCACTACTCAACAAACTTCATTGGTTCCCTAGAATATCCTGAAGTATAAGATGGAAACTCCTCTGTTTAGCTTTTTGAGCCCTTAACAACTGGTCCTGAACATAATAGATAATCACAGTTATGATTGCACCAGGTTTTGAAAACCCCTATGAATGACTTCAGCCCTTTGAAATTCTAATTTTTCAAATAAATGATTATATGCAACAGAGACACAAAGTCTCAGGAGATCTTCATCTATTATTGATTCAAACTTTCTATCTCATATTTTACAGCTGATATATATTTTAATATAGTTATTATATAAATCATATTTTATATATTATATATAAGTATACTATATAATAGATAACTATTTGAAATAAATATTTATTATATATGCTTTATAACATGTGTGCACATGTAATATATACACATGTACATATGTATATCAATATTATGTGTATACATTCATATGCATATGTATGTATGTGTGTATATGTGTATATCTCAAGTGACACCTTTACATGAGGCCTTTACTGACCTGATTCCAAGTGCTTGAACCCTCTCTCCCTAACCACCTTATATTTCTCTGTGTATGTGTATGTGAATGTAGGGGCATATATTAGTACAGTTGGGTGGTGTAGTGGATAGAGTGCCAAGCTTGAGTCATCTTCCTGAGTTGAAATCTGACCTCAGACACTAGCTGTGTGACCCTGGGCAAGTCACTTAACCCTGTTTGCCTCAGTTTCCTCATCTGTAAAATGAACTGGAAAAGAAAATGGCATATCCCTCTAGTATCTCTACAAAGAAAACCCCAAATAGGGTCACAAAGAGTCAGATAGGGCTGAAAATGACTTAACAACAACAACAATATGTATGCGTGTGTATATCTACATATGTATGAATATATGTATTTATGTATACATATGTACATATGTATAAATATATGTATGTGTGCATATGTATGTTGTTTCCCCTGATGAAACATAGGTTATTTGAAAGCAGTGACTATTTCATATATATGTAAATATATATATGTATATGTATATATATACACACATATATATGTGTATATACACATACATATATATATATATTTTTTTCCATGGCCTGGTACATATTAGGCACTTAATAAGTGCTTGTTGATTAATAATTACATTCCCCACATGTAGGGCATCTCCCAGGTGTGACCCAGGCCCTGACATCTTAGTATATAATTACTGAGTTGCTGTCATATGTGAGTTCAATCTCATTCCTGGAAACCAAAGTCTCAGACTTAAATTCTCTGCCACCCCTTATCTCAGTTCCCCAGTTCCTAGACAGAACTAAAGACACACTCTACCAACATAGTACCATGGATGTTAGAGGCCCTAGTCAGCCTAGCATATATAAGCCTAGCACATGCCTATGGCTAGCAAATTCGTGTTTCCTATTCCCCTAATCTCAATGATTCAAAGTTATCGTCTCCAAGAGTGAAAGCCCTCTTCCTCTGCTAGCTATCCCCATACTCTTATCTTATTTTATTGGATGAAATTTAATCTCACATTCCCCAGTCTATTCTTTCTCTGCTTTCTCCTTCCATTGTGCCTTGGTTCAACCATTATCACAGTTTCCTTCACTTTTGATTTCTCCTTTTGTACCCTTCCCAGTATCCCTCCCTCTCTAGGGGTTGTTGCTCACCACAGAATCCAGAACTAGAAACGAATTTTCAGATTATCTAGTTGTATCCCTTCATCACACAGATATAAGGAAGCTGAAGACCAGAGGAGGTAAATGACTTACCAGGGTCACAGAGGTAGTGGCGAAAGCAGAACTGGGTCAAGAAAAGGAGTTAGCATAGCCCTTGATCTCTGCTGCCCCTTTCAGGCACCTCTGCCACCATTACTCAGAAATCTTCTCCTCCTTTGAAGTTTACTGTGTCTGCTTTATCACTTGGTTTTTTTTTGCCATGATCTATCATCCTGCAGGTGATTCCCCCTTCTTTCTCAAATAACTAATGCCTCATGCAATAACCATAACACCAATTCCATCATGTTAATGTCGGTGTTTGGTAAACCTTAAAATGATATAAAAATGTCTGTTATTCCTATTGAACATGTAGCTTCTGAAAGCACATGGCCGTGATCTGGAGACCATTAAGCCTAACATTATTATTTCAATTTTTAAAAGGCTCAACTAAGAACACACAGTCTATCATGTGAACTATAAGATTAAAGAGGCCATTGGCAGAGCCAAGAAACAACTGAATCCTTTGACTCCAGCCATGAGGTCTCCAAGAAAGAATTAGAATAGATACATAATTTGAAGATGACTAAAACAAGAGCCGCAAGAAGGCTGTATGAAATATAACGAGTCTCATATTCTGAAGAGATGGGGGGTAATTACCAACACTGGTGTTACTATCAGCCACAGACAATAGCCCCATACCTGCAGTGTCAGAGTCACAGTGAGGATTCCAAAGAAGAGCGCCATGAGCACAAAGCCACCAATGAGGAGAGGTCTGCGCCCCAGACGTTCAATGACCAAGCCCTAAAACAGAGGGGAAAAGAATGTGACTGTGCTGTAAAGGACATCCATTGAGAAGAGCCCTCAGTGAGCCAATCTTGTTGAGGCTGCAGAGGCCTGGCAGCTCCAAGGTGATCCTTGGAGCCAAACACTGCTGATCCCCAAGGAAGGAAAGGGGCGGAAGGAGAAAGGGAGAAAGGAAGGAGGAAGGAAGGAAGGAAGGAAGGAAGGAAGGAAGGAAGG